TTTTTCTCAAATGAAGACAGGTCCTTCTAAGAATGAGGAATTATGAAGCTCACTGAAAGATGGCAAAAGGTTATCGAACAAAACGGGCAATATATCATTGATTGATCTTTGTTCTTTATATAAATAAATGACCTTTGAAAAACATAGACAAAATATGTCATGACATTTCCGACAGCCCAATATATGTGGAATCTAAAGGACAAAATAAACAAAACAGAAACAAATTCATAGACACAGAAAACACTTTGATAGTTGCCAGATGAGAGGAGGATTGGAGATGTGGGTGAAAAAAAGGGAAGGAGTTAAAAAGCGCAAATTGGTTGTTACAAAGTAGTTATGGTGATGTTGGTACAGCATAAGGAATATAGTCAATAATATTGTAATAATTATGTATGTTGTCAGATGGGTGCTAGCTTTGTTGGGGTGATAGATAGGAGGGGTTTGGGGGAGGGTAAAAAAGGTGAAGGGATTAATAAGTACAAACTGGTAGCTACAAAATAGTCATGGGGATGTAAAGCAAATCATAGGGAATATAGTCAATGATATGGCAATAACTATTTATAGTCCCAGGTGGGTACTTGACTAGTCAGAAGGTCAATTCTTAAATTATACTCATATAAATGTCTAACCACTCTTCCACATACCTGAAATTAATATAATATTGAATGTCAAATGCAACTGAAAAATTTTAAAAGGGGAGGAAATGTGAAGGGGAATAAGAGGCCCAAATTTCCAGGTATAAAACAAACAAGCCATGGGGATATAATATATAGACAGGGAATATAGTCAATAATATTGTGATAGCATGGTACGGTGTCAGGTGGGTGCTGGACTTATCATGGTGATCACTTCTAGGTATATAAATGTTGAATTATTATGGTGTACCCCTGAAACTAATATAATATTGTATGTTAGCTATATTTTTTAAAATCTTTAAAAAATAAAAAGGAAGATGGCAAAAAACACATGAAAAAATGCTCAACAATGTTAATCTTTGGAGAAAATGAAATATACTACATACCTATTACAATGGCTAAAATTTAAAAGCCTGTCCATACCAAGTGTTGGCTAGGCTACAGAGCACCTGCAACACTCATACACTGCTGATAGGAATATAAAAGGGTACAACCACTTTGGAAAATCAGTTGAGAATTTCTTTAAAAGTTATATGTGTATCTACCATATGACCCAAATATTTCGCTCCTAGATATTCACCCAAGAGAAATGATAGCATATGTCCATACAAAGACTTCTACAGAAATGTTCATAGTAGCTTTATTAGTAATAGCCAAGAACTGTAAATAACCTAGATGTCCATCAACAGGTGAATGAATACACAAATTGTGGTATATTCACACAACGGGATACTACTCAGCAGCAAAGACACAGATAAATCTCAAAATATACTGAGTGACAAAAGTCAGATGAAAATGTTCGTACTATACGATTTCATTTCTATAAAACTAGACAAAGAAATTGATCTCTAGAGACAGAAAGCAAATCAGTATGTTTGAGAATGGAGGGGTGAGTTAGGAGGGAAGGAGGAAGAAGCAGGGATGGATTACAAAGGAACACTAGGAATCTTTAGGAGGTGATGGATATGTTCATTATCTTAAATGTGGTAATGGTTTCATATATGTATACATGTATCAAAACTTATCAAATTGTACTCTTTAAATATGTGGGGTTTTTTTTGTTTTTTGTTTTATTTTTAGCTGAGCCATCCTGCCACCTGTTGGCAGCTCAGCGGCAGCTCCTCTCGGGCCGGGGATCGAACTACTGACCCTGTTGCTCAGAGCTCACACTCTTGAGCAAGCTCTTAATCAACTAAGCCACTCATCCAGCCCTAAATATGTGCAGTTTTTATATGTCAATTATACCTCAGTAAAGATATCTAAAATAAAAACTGCTTTTATCATGCTTCCATTCTGTCTTCTGAAAGTTTTAGAATTCATTTTTTATTGAGATATAATTAACATATAACATTAAGGTGTACAATGTTGATTTCAAAATTTATATATTGCAAGATGATTACCATAATAGCATTAGCTAATACCTCTATCACGTTACATAATTATTATTTTTTTCATGGTGAAAACAATTAAGATCTAGTCTCTGAGCAACTTTTAAGTTTATAATAGTGTTTTTTATTATAATCACTATGCTGTAATTAGCTCTTCAGAACTTCAGTTGTAAGTTTGTACCCTTAAACAACATCTCCTCTGCACTCTTATAACCATTTCACATTCTCAAAGGTTTTCCATATTAACCATACGATTTATTTTTCTCATGAATCAATTAGGATCCATTAATATGTGAGATTTTTTTTAATTCTGATTTTATTCCTGAAGTTTAAAGAATTCACTCAGCAACAAATATTCGTATTATTTAACAATATAATTCATAGCTAACATGCATGTGGCAAAAGTATACTAAGACTTTGCCATTATGACTAAGTTAAGTAGAATTACAGATATTTAGATACCAAAACAATATACCATTTAAGATGTCTAAAGCCTAAATCAACAGATGGAAAAGAGTCAATGCAGTCTCCCTTCCGGAGAGAAAAAGATTTTCTATGGTCCTGAAAAATAGGCAGAGTGGAATACAGCAAAAAAAGCAGAGGGAAAAAAACTAATGATCCCTCCTTTTTATATAAGTACTTCTTGTCATTACTCCAAAAATATAAAGCTGCACTTGAAGATGTCACAGTACCAAAATGTGGGGAAAAAAGAATTACTTATACCTTATTTCACATATTATTTTAAAATGTTAATGGTTGGCTGAGCTGAGAGTATTAAATGCATATATTAAGCTTAAAAACTTTCAGGTTCCAAATTGAACATAAATCTCTAGCCAAAATTCTCAGATATTAAAGTGTTTACTCAGCATTTAAGATTAACAAAACTACCACTAGCCCCCCTCAAAAAAAAAGTATAAAAAACTAACCAGTTTAAGAAAAAGAGCACAGTATTTTTTATTAAAAAATTACATTATAACAAGAACAGTATACATTAAGTTACAATATATATGTACACACAAATTTTAAACTTTTAAAAAAACCTGGTACAAATTAAATGGCATCTATCTCATGCTCACATGATTAAGTATGCATTTTGATAGAATATAAAGATGAAACACAAGCTGGTGGGCCCCCAAATTAGAAACTTTAATGCAGGGTCAGGTCCTAAAATCTGTTTTCTATCACTTTTGTGACTTTAGAAAATACTTAGCTTGTATAAGAAATAATAGCTTTTTCATTTAAGAATGTTAACAGTTTAAAGAAAAATTAATATCAAGAGAAAAGCCCACCATGGCTGTGTTTATCTATAATCCATTGTAGTATATATAAAGTTCACTTGGAGATTTGGGACATAACAACTACAATGAAGAAAGAAGCTCAGCTGTAATTATGAATTTCTAACTTCTTATTTTGAATGTCCAACTTACTACTACAGATATTACACCTTGTAATACATGACACAAAAGAGCATATGTTAGACTTTGCTGTAGAGCTGTTAGGAGAATGCCAAATATAGATACTGAAAAATTTATGTACTTATATTACCCTGTTGGTTTAAAAAATAACTGGTTATTTAAAATATGTTGATGTATTTTTTTTAAATGATGCTAAGCACCTTTAAAATACAATACTGATATGCTGTGACTAAACATGCATTTAGAGGACAAATGAATTTTTAAAAACTAATTTAGAAACCATTTTTAAAGAGCTACTCATTGAAATACTTACATGAAATACTGATAGTTCCAGTTTCTACCTAAAAACCAAAAGAGTATACAATTAGGGATTTAAACCTTCCTTTATGCTCTTTTTTTTCTTTTGTGGGGGGGGGATGCACTGCAACATGATTTTAAAAAAAAACAGTATCAGAAGAGACATTCACATAGTATGAAGTGAGAGAAATATTTTAAACTGTGTTTTATTTCTGATGAAATGCCAAAGTCTGAATCCTTGGACATCTCTCATCCTCATCAGTAACTAAAGTTTGTATCTTAACAAGCATTTCTCCTTAGCAACTCAACATCAAAAAAGAAAGGAATGTCTCCTAAGAAATAAAGTTCAATTGGTGAAATATTTCATAATAAATGATTGTCATTAATGAAAGGTGAAGATCTATTATTTAAAATCTTGAAAAAGTTTCCATGAAAACTAGAAATAACAAATGAAAAGAATGTTACCTACAATGCAACACTAAACTGTAAATTAATTTGGACTTAATCCCTTTAAGTACATACGAGTAAGAGAAATCTGGGTTTGAGGTAATAATAGTTGTATTTAACTTAGCATAACATAATAGATTTGGCAGCCTAACTCTATAAATGCCCACATCAAATATTTTCATTTCTTAGGAAAAAGAAAAGCAAGTCTTACCAAAAAATCATACATGTAACAATGTTAACTTTGCATTAAATAGGGGTATAAATAATAAATTTTATAATAAAAAGGGTATAAATCTAAAGAGCAAGGAATTTTAAAATTCCACCCACTTCTAATATAATAGTGCTTTATACTTATACATGTTGTGTACCTGAAACTATTAAAGTGTATTAAGAATGGGAGACTGGACTTAGAAAAGCCAAAAAGACTCATATTTAAGTAAAATACTATCATTAAATTTCATATTATATTCCACATGCTTTGAATAGTAAACATTAATATCCATTTGAAATCCTTAGTTTAAATATACCCACAGTTGGTCTCTGGAGAAAAAAAAGCCTTTAGATTGATTTTTTGACAGTTACAATGTCTAGTTTACCAACCTTCCAGAAAACAAAAGCTTTTGATGAATATGCTGATTAGAACTTATTCAGTTTTTAAAGTAAATATACCTACTCAACAGAAAATATAACACAATAGTTTTAAAGTTTTAAATATGAACTGAATTTTAAACTATAAATACTTGAAGTACTATAAATTCTGATACCATCAATTCAGTAAGAACTCTGGCATAAAAAAAATAAATACAACTCAAATTCTTTTCTAACCACAGCTGAATCTTCAATACGAAATAGGGGAAAAAAAAGCCTCTGCTGATATCAAAAAGTTCCCCAAATTATCTGTAAACATCAGAGAATTCTACTATTCTTTCTGAATTCTCTCAATTTCTATATTTTTCTACCCATAAATAGTGTTTTAACTACAATACTGTATAAATGCATGCAATATACATTTATTTCTGTTGCTTATCTTTCAAGTTAAAATTCTCATTACTTACCAAGACCCTTAAATTTCTACCAGATGACCATTAGTATCCTATTGGTTCCCAGTCATAAGTATAAAAATTAGAATGAAAGAAGCTAAAATGCACAAACACAGTTTCCACAGATGTGAATGCTGGGCTTTGTGTTATGGTGCAAAATCTATTGTTTTATCTTTCCAAATGAGACACACTACAAATATTCTCTCACCTGCCTGCCAATTTAAAAAATTTCTTCACAACTTTAAAGAGAGAATAAGTTCTTTTAGAAGTTAAAAAGGTCATCACACACACACACACACACACACTCACTCACTCACTCACACCCTATCTTTGTTGTTGTTTTCATCTTTCAAGAGCCAAAATTGGTTATTTTCAGCAGATGAGTTAGATGATCATTTGTGTTCAGGCTATATCACTGTGGATAAGTTCAGATGATCTTCTGAAATACTGGCCTTATCAGATACTCAAAAAGGATAAGCATGATACAAAATAAGAGGAGTAAAAATAAGATGTAAAAATATGGAATTGGCAACAAATGTATCAATTTTAAATCAAAGCTGCTCATGGAACCAGTCTTCAGTCCACTTATCATAATGCTGTGGTTTGACAATATTCACCTTCTTTTCTATGATGACATCAGAAGTCACCTGAGTTGTTAAATTCTGAAAAACTTCAATAACTTATGTAACAGATAATTTCTTACAGTCCAAATTTTTTTTTGCTTCCATTGACAATGCTGGTTCTTTGGGTTCTTGCTTAACTTGGTTCACAGAAATGGTGCCTTCTGGATTTTCTTCAACTTTAAAACCAAACATAAAAGAAAAACCCTAAAGGTTAATATAATTTACAACACTAGAATCTTTAGAATTATATAAATTTAGAAGTAAAGCATAAAACAGTAGTTTGGAAAAAAGAACCAAACAATTTAGAAAAGCGGTTAGTGTATTTGAGAACTCAGTGCTTCTGATATCTTAAGTCATTCATATTAAATTCCTTCAGTATGCTTCTAGTAATGAAAAAAAGAAGAGACCAAGTAAACTATAAAGTTATTCTCCTGTAAAGATACTTTGACAAAAAAAATCAGTCCACAATTTGATAAAATTATGAGGAATATTTCATATTTAAACTTATCTGTCTTTTAAAATATTTGTAAATAAAGGTCAGGAAGCCTCCCATTATTTGAAAATGATTTGTTTTGCAAACAACAGGGATATGTATCACAAATTCACAGACTTGTTACCATTCACATATGATTTCCACATATGGTCATATATCAAGGAAAATGTTCCCTCCCTAGAGAAACTTCACTACATAAGTACTTAAAAAAAAATACACGTCTTAAATGATAGCTCTGACTTAGCTGTACGAGCTATGTGTTTATTTGCAATATTTCAGAACGCACTTAACCATTCTGATTTCAAAATACTTATGACCAAATTAATCTAAATTAATCTTCATCTAGCATACCAGCAGCACTATTGTGAAATGGCAGGTGGGAAACCTAAGATAAAATCGTTCTCTCTTTCTCAGGAATATCAGTTTTCGGTTTCTATAAGAAACCAAGGTTAAGGTTCAGAAAAGTGCATCAAACATACCTGATGTTTGTCATATATGGATGTGTTGGAGTTTAGCCCATACCATAGAGAAAACAAATAGAGGATGGATTTCAATGACCGTGAGAATAAATATTCAGGTGAAGTAGTCCCTCAGATCACGAGCTAACCTGATAAATCATGCAAGTTCAAATTCAAAAAGGGTCTCCTTTAAATCAATCTGAATTAGAGATCCCAGAAATACTTTAGCACAATACAGAAGGAGGAATCTTGTTAGAATGGAAAAGAAGCTTTGGAGGTAGACAGATCTGAGTTAAATTCCCACTTTGTCACTTACCAGATGTGATTTTAAGGCAATTATTTAATTTCACTGAGCCTTGGTTTCCCTATCTGTAGAATGGGGACACCACCAGCTATTCCATGGAATTGTGAGGATTCACGCATATTCCTTTCCCCTCTCTTCTACTAAAGTTCCTCAGTAGTGACAACTGCCACACCCCTCTGGATAAAATTTCTTAATAATCAATTTAAAAGACAATGATTCTTTTCTGAAAGGAACTATCTCACACTCTTCCTTACCCAGAAGAATGATGTTTAAGGATGGAGGGGAAAATATATGTCCTAAAAATCTATGAAGATTTTTGCTCTTCAAAGCAAAATGAAAGTCTTTTCCCACAAAAGTGCCCAATCCAGTACAATCTGTGGGGAGTGACATAGCTCAAGTAGGAGTTAACAGAATTTATTACATGTTGATTGGGTTTGTTATAAAGTGGCGAGGTAATAAAGTCATGGGTAAAACCCAAGTTCCCAAGTCTTACTAGTTCCCTTTCAATTTCCACAGAACTCAACATTTAAGTCTATAACATGAAATCTTTAACTTTTATATCTTCCCATTTCATTCTATTTTTCTATTTGTGTGTATCAATTTTTCCATAATAACCTTTACACTAAATAGTTTTCTATTTATTTATTTATTTAGGGGGGGAGAATTGGGGAAGGGGGACAGTGTTAGGGAATTGGGGAGGGGATCAGCCAAGTTGTTCTTCAATCTTAGTTGTGGAGGGCGCCAGTCGCCATCTGGCTGCTCATGGCCTCTAAGCTCAAGGTGCTGTGTTCAATCTTAGTTGCGGGTGGGCGTAGCCTCCATCCCATGTGGGAGTCAAAAGAACAGCCTTGTTGTTAAGAACACACACTGTATCACTGAGCCATTCGGATAGCAGCTCAGCTCAAGGTGACAAGTTCAGTCTTAGCTGCGGGTGGGCAGAGCCACAATCCCATGCAAGAGTCGAAATGACAGCCTTGCTCTATCCACTGAGCCATCCGGATGGCAGCTCAGCTCAAGGTGCCGAGTTCACTCTTTAGTTGCGGGTGGGTGTAGTCCACCATCGAACAGGCAACCTTGTTGTTAGGAGCACATGCTCACACCAGCTGATCCATCCTGCCACCTGTTGACAGCTCAGTGGCAGCTCAGCTCCGGTGCAGCTCACTGGCCCATGTGGGAATCGAACCGGCGACACTGTTGCTCAGAGCTCATGCTCTTAAGCTAACTCTTAACCAAATGAGCTACTCGGCTGATCCAATAGTTTTCTTTTTAAAGTTTCTCTAATTATTTTCATGCATTCTAAAAGGACATTACTGATCTCATATCACCACAGGTTTTCCATGTAAAACTGAAATGGGTAATTTCAATGTGGAAAAAAATTACAAGCTATTAAAACTTATGCTCATGGAATTTTTTCCCTTTTTCTCAGTTTACTTGATTTATTTATATATTATAAACCCACTAAGTAGAAACAACACTTTTTTTTTTCTGTAGTGCATTAGTGATGATAGTCCATAAAAGTTAAAAAAAAAATCATGAATTGATTTTAACTTACTAAGAGCTGGGTGGCTGTCTATAATCTGTATTGGAATGGTCTGCACATTTTCCAACAGAATCCGATCAACACTTCCTTCCAGATTCTCTGTTTCCTCAACATCTCCAACTTCCACCAGCTGATCCATTGCAACCAGATTTTGATCTGGTCCTGGAAGGTTACCCATGGTAGAGGCAATACTATCATTTTGGGTTAGGCATGTATCTGTTTGAAGACTATGACTCTGACCAAGCAGTAGAGAATTGTTATTCATTACAGCACTTCCTATTGAGTCTAGAAGTCTTGAAGGACTGGAGGAAGAGTGGTTATTTATTGATAGCAGAGTCGGTGATCCATCAGGAGAAGTGAATCTTGGTTGCAACTGCAAACCCTTTTAAACCAAAAAGAGTTACATCAAAAAGTTTGAATTTACTATGTGTGATTTTCTCATAGGATCTATTATTCTTTTGACACAAGTTGGAATAAAATACAAGGGTAGTTAACGACAAATATTAAGTGAGGACAGAAACAAGAACTAAAGGAAAAAAAGTACAACTAAATTTTATTGCATGCATGGTTAACTCAAACTTTTTCAAAACATATTGTTTAAATCATCATCTTAAATCAAGATACAAAAAAGTCAGGAAATTAATAATGAAAACATCTTTGATCATTATTACAAATCTATAACAATTCTGTCAAGTCCCTGAGAGAAGAAGAGGGAGATTGAAAAACAAAAAAAAGGCCCTCAAATTTGGCTACTTTACTGGATATTTACTTACCTGTAACTGTGTGAATATTTTTGGCTGAAAGGAGGAAAGTGAGGAAAGCACATGGGCTGGTTCTGGAGACAAAGAACCCCTTGTCTGATTTGTATGCACTTTGGTGGTAGTTGACTCTCCTGGTGAATTTCCTAAATTATATAAAAAATAAACTATTAAAACCAAATAATTTTTATGGCTTCTAGGGTACTACACTTTATTATAACTCTTACTATCAGAATTGGAATAGGAAATAAGGTCAAAGGTTTGAAAAGGTCTTTAAGAAGTTATCTAGGGCCGGCCGAGTGGCGCAATGGTTAAGAACTGGCTTGGGACGCCAGAGGGCCCTGGTTCGGATCCCACATATGAGGGCCAGTGACACTGCCCTCTACAGCTAAGATGCTGAACAACAGCTCAACCTGGACCTGGGCTGCCGTGAGTCACCGGCGAAGGCGTAGGCTGCAACCCCTGTGGCAGTGGGTTGCCATGGGCTACCGTGTGTAGCCAGCACCCAGCATGAGCAGCCAACAGCCGCAGTGAGCAGCCGTCCAGAAGCCAGCGACTGATCTGCCTCACCCGGGAAGAGTGCAATGATGGTGCCAACTTGGGCCAGTGAAGCAACGTCCTCCACAACTAGACTGAAGAACAAAACAACAGCAACTTGTCTGTTCCCACGCCCCCAATTCCCCTATAAAAATCTTAAAAAGAAAAAAAGAAGTTATCTAGTCCACTATTTGCAGAACGTGGTATATAATCAGAATCACTAAGGAAATTTTTAAAAATATATAAAATTTTATTAATTTTAATTCAGTATATCTAGGATAGAATGTAAGAAATGGTATATTTTTTTCCTTGAAAGATTGTACATCTGTAACTCTGGGTCCATTTTTCCATGCTATGATGCTGGATTACACCTAAACTTCTCTACATGTGGGTAAACTATTGAGCTTCTCAATTACGAAAACCAAACTTAATTTACCTTTGGTAGCCCTCTTGCCTATGACAATGCATGGAATAAAGCTGACATAATACTCATAACAACTGTATTGAATTTCTTTCAATAACTCAGTTTGGAATAAATAAATAAGAGTAAAAATTTCTCTGTTTTCTAATATCTCAATTTTTAAATTGTCCTTAGGGAATTTGATTCCTTCTCATGTAATTCTTTCTTATGCTAACCCAAATACATTCATCTCTTTAAGTCAATCAAAAACCAATTATCAACAGCTATTTATTGCTTTCATACTGTAATTGAGTAATTTTTAAAATGACACTGGTGTCAGACAAGGATAGATTTAAGCACCAGCTTTTTTCTGTAACCTTCAACATACTATTTAACTCAGTTTCTAAATGTCAGTTTCCTCATCTGTAAAATGAGAATAATAAGAGAATCTTCCTCTAAGGCAGCGGTTCTCAACCTTCCTAATGCCGTGACCCCTTAATACAGTTCCTCATGTTGTGGTGACCCCCAACTATAAAATTATTTTCGTTGCTACTCTATAACTGTAATTTTGCTACTGTTATGAATCGTAATGTAAGTATCTTTTTGTTTTCTGATGGTCTTAGGTGACCTCTGTGAAAGGGTCATTTGACCCCCAAAGGGGTCGCGACCCACAGGTTGAGAACTGCTGCTCTAAGGACTGCTGAGGTGATTAAATAGCACTTGCACATTTCTTGGCTTCTTCATTTCTAATTGTCCTTCCGCTTCACTCTGTTGCAGTCACCCACTATTACGGTCATACTTCATACTATTCTACATCTAAAATCTCTATTTCAAACATCCCATTCTCTGAACACAACCTCTTATTCTTCCAGGAATTTTGCTTAGGTACTCCACTAAAATTGTTCTTCAATCTCACGTCAATTGATTCCTCAGTTTTCTTCAGATCCATCAACCTCTTCCCTAATAAAATTCTCTCCCCTCCAGCTTAGGATCTGGGCTTATAGTTTTAATTACACTCTTTCAAACACCCTAAACCTCCCCCTGCCTCTCTGTCCTTTGGTCATACCCACTGGGTAAAATCCAAATTCTGGATGAAAATGGCTTCCACTGCTTATACATGTGAAGCCAAATACCACTGAGTAAGGAACTCATTGCTACCACTACTACCAATTCATGATCATCAACTTCAACAGAACTTCACCTATATCTGACAACCTTACAAGTTTCTCTCATTCTGTATTAGGGATGATATCGAATCTTCATTTTCCTAAAATTTTGGCCACCCTTCCTGAGGTCTGCTCTCATCCTTAGCACTCTTACTTAAAGAGAAAAGAGAAGCTATCAGAAATTTCTTCAACTTCCCATCACCAAAGCTATCAAGTACCTTCATTTTTTTTAAGCTGAGCCATCCTGCTACCTGTTAGCAGCTCAGCCACTGCTCAGCTCGGGCTGGGAATCGAACCACTGTTGCTCAGAGCTCAAACTCTTCAGCGAGCTCTTAACCAACTGAGCCACTTGGCCGGCCCAAGTATCTTCATCTTTATGTATCTCTTCACATCTCTTATGCCTTAAAAAACCTTCCCTCAACCTCACAGCAAACCTGATAATTCCCTTCAAAGCAAACTTCTTGAAAAAGTGGTCTACATTGCCTCTACATCTTCATTCATCTCCCATTCACTCTTCAACCACCTTAATGGCTTCCTCCCAAATCACTCTTTTGAAAGGGCTCCAATAGCAAGTTTTCCAAACCTGATCTCATGAACTTTCTTTCTCTCCCCTGCAGCCACCAATATCCTATCCTTATGCCAGTGTTGCTGAGCTCAGTAAATGCTACTATCATTAAGTAGCTCATGGAAGAAACTCAGGAGTTATCCTAGATAATTCCCACTCTTAACCTCCCACACCTATTGAATGAATAACCAAGGCCTTTGAGTTCTATTTTTAAAATAACTATTAAATCTGTCCAATTCTAATATAAATGCCATCAACTGTAGTTTACACCACTAACACCTTTCAAATGGACAGCTAAAAGGGCCTCCTAATCCTGTTTTGCTTATCCAGTTTTATCTCCAACCATTATCTATGCTTAAAACCACACTTTCTTAAGTTCCTTGAACATAACAAGCTCTTTCTTGCTTAGCCTTCGAACATGCTATTCCTTTGATTGGCAAATTCCTATTCATTCTTCAGTTCTTAGTTTAAAAGTCACTTTCTCAAGTGTCACTTCCCTCCCTACTCCCTGGACTAAGTTATATGTCTCCATCACTATTCCCACAAACCTTCTCATGGCACTTCTCATAACAGTAATTAATTAAAACATATTTGCTTAGTGTCTTTTTCTCTAGCTAAACTTTAAATTCAATGAAGCAAGAAACTTACTTGTTCTTTTTTATGCCCAGCATTTATCACAATGAGTGCAATATGTACATACAGAACAAATGAATAATGCTAAAGAATTTAAAAGTTATTCTATAGGAAAAAGTGACTCAAAGGTTAATAAGTCGAAGAATAAAGAATTAATTGTACTGTATATAGTTATTCATAAATTTATTCTTTTAGGTGTTAACTTTTTAGCAGGCATTATGCTATGAACCAGATATTTTAATTTGAATAGAATACAATTCTTGCCTCTGAGGAGCTCAAATCATAATGAAAGATACGGATGTGTAAACAAAAGGATACCATGTTAAATGCAGAGGTAAATACAAAAGGGTGACTATCTAACTTTATAAAAGGAGTGAAGTTAAGACAGCACTTACCGTATTTGCCGGCGTATAAGACGACTGGGCGTATAAGACGACCCCCTAACATTTCCACTCAAAATACAGAGTTT